TTTATAATTAATAGTAATAAATAATAATTAATATCAATGAGAGTTTATAATTGAAAAAATATGACAATAAATTACCAAAAACGCTACTTCAAGTAGTTTCAATAAGCTAGCTTTTGTCCGTTTAAACGTATATCCAGAAAATAAGCTAGCTTATTTTTGCCAAATAATGTCTAATTGCACCTGTATATATTGCTAAATGCATTCTACCTGGTACTTTCCTTCTCGCACACATCAACATTAAAAACTCACTTTCTACATTACTAATACATGAATTGACTCGATTTTGAACTTATTACTTAGAAAAACATTTTAACACACCCAATTAGTTGTTGCTGCATACCCCCCTCCCTCCTTGTTTAACCTGAGACCAACATTGGCCACCATTAGTGGTTACATAATGTAAAATGTTGTGTGCATAGAATTAGAAGTGCTCAAAAATTCGACCAACCTGATTAATTACCCGATCAACTCAATCTAACGCGAAATAACTCAATTTGAAGCAACCTGATTTCTAATCGAGTTGTAAAATTTTCAAACCGTAGGTATTGAGTTACTATTATTTGAACTCAACCCAACCCGATGAACCCGATATTCTTTTATTTATGATCGTTGAATTTCTATTAATATATACATTAGACAATTACACTATCATATACGCTCTTCATATACAAATCTTTTCAATCTATTCACATCTCTATATAACTCATTCGTATATAAGTTCAGTAACTGTAAACATATATGCGTAAATTGAGAAAATTAACTGAATATGTTATACGTAAGAAGTATAGATAAGTTGTATCAAATGATTGCTGATGAAAAATAAATTATGAGTAGGATAATAACATATTCAAGGTTAGAAGAATATCTTAATGTACCAAAATATCATCCCGGCCAACCCGTACGGTTTGGGTTGGGTTGGGTTGTACTTTCGTTTGGGCTGGGTTGGTTTAAGATTTTTCAAACTGCAAGCATTAGATTGAGTTGTTCAAATGTCTTCAACCCGATTAACCCAACCCATGAGCACCCATACATAGAATATTGAAAACTAAATTATCCTATAATGTACTCCAAGATCATATTTGCATATAACCATATATTTTATATATTATGAAATACAAATTTATACATTTGGTTCCAATATATACAAAAACTATACCAAAGGGCATTTGACCTAGCGGTATCGTAGCCCTTGGCCTTCTAGGAGGTCAGGGGTTCAAACCTCACCATATGTGAGGAGCGTGTGTGAGTTTATTTGTTGAATTTGTCGTATATAAATATTATATACTTCAAAAAAAAAATACAAAAACTATATTACAAAAGTAGCTACCAATTTTTTTCACATAATCTTAGTACAAGACTTATATACATAACAAGTATTCAGATACAAATAACATCAAATCATCCCAAAAATCCACATGCAATAAATCATGAATCCCTCTATAATTTTCTCTTTCCCTTATCGTCTAATTGTGTCCGACCTGTAATGCACATTTTAAAACACCAAAATGAAGATTAAACTATGAGGTCTACTGGTCTAGTGAGAAATTCATTTGATTGCTATTACAGGATGAAAATCACCAAAACATTTTTATAAAACCCATATTTGTATAAATAACAAATAAACAACATTTTATCGAACAAATCTCTTGTTGTCGCATCAAGATGATGAGGCATTACCCACTTATCGCATTAAATAATAAAATTACCCATTTGTCGAATTATACATAAACTTATCGCATCATATAGATAAAACCATACTTTTCTCGCATCACAAGGGTGAGACAACCCAATTTTCTCGCATCACATGGGTGCGAGAACCCATCTCATCGTATCCAATACATGCGATAACACATCTTTGTCGCATCAATATGATGCAACAACTCAACTTGTCGCATCACAAGGATGCGACAAACACCCTTCTCGCATCACAAATATGCAATAAAATCAACTTATCGCATCATATAGGATGCGATAAACCAAGGTCATCGCATCATGAAGATGCGATTACTCAAGGTCACCGCATCATGAAGATGCGATAACTCAAGATCACTGCATCATAAAGATGCGATAACAGTTTTCATATGATCCAAAAAAATCCCAGTTTTCACATTCAGTTGATTATGCCACCCTTATTCAATAATACGCTTCTCATAATTATGTCACCCTTATCCCAGAATACATCACTCTTGATTATGTCAACCTTATCCCAAAATACACCTTTTCTGATTATGTCACCCTTTATCCCAAAGTACACATCTCCTGATTATGCTACCTTTATTTCAATCATTTGATATTAACATATCAAAATACAAAATAATGTTAAAAATAGCACAATAACAGTTTCAAAACTCCCCCACATATTGAACCATACGATTCTGTTTAACACTGTAAAAAGGAAAGTTTTTTTAAATAAAACTCATATTGATTCACAGAATTGCAAATGAACAACAACAATTATTCAAATTAATAATCACATAATCAACTTCTTTCATTTTCCTCTTTCGGTTTTTGTTTTTGCTTCGGTATCAAGAACACATACCCATTTTTTTTTTCTTACTTGCTTTCACAACTCCAATGGAATAAAACAATTATCTCACTAACAAACATATAATAATAAGAGGCGTGGTGATTTAAATTACTTTAAGCATATTAATAAAATAAACCCCTCAACTTACCACTCTTATTCAAAAATAACCCCGATAAACCCAGTTATCACAAAAATTGTACTGGACTTTCGATCAAGTTATCCTTACAAAATACCTACAAAAGATGATCTTCAATACTAAGTTTGATCTCAGAGTTCTCATGATCTTTTTATCGACCTGATCTCAAATCTCATTATTCTAGTTGAAGTTCTTATAACTCACAAAAGCTCACGTCAAATTGGGGTCGTGGACCTTGATTAATTTTAGTCTCCTTTTCATTGTGTAAATAATTCTGACTTTGATGTTCTCCTTGGATGCAAATTTCATCTTGGTTGATTTTTTTCATTTTCATTTTGCATTAAATAATTGTCGACCATTAAAAGCTATGAAGAGACTTGTGTTATCACTAAATAGTTGCTTGTGGTTTAACTTAAAAACATTGAACATATAACATAAATTGTGTACAAAAAGTATATATATTATTTAATATATTATATTATTAAAGATTTGTTTGATTGTTTCAATTATATTTTGATATATTATAATTGATTAAACAAATTACATTTCCATCAGCTAGTTTTACCAAACATAATTTGTTCATCAACTAACTTATAAGCTAACAATTAATTTATGAGTCATCAACTAATTTACCAAAACATAACTTTATCTAACCATGAAAGCAACAAATGATTGAATGAAAATAGAAGTAGGGAGCAAAGCTTTTTGGGTGGATGCGGAAAGATTCAACGTTTAGGAAAGTCTTGTGAAATTGATATGATATGCTAACCAACACATATTCCTCATTGTTTTATTCCAATACTTCTTTAATAACTATTTATTTTTAAATCTATATTATATTATAAAACATTTGATAAACACTTTTAAAAATCATTTTTATGCATAAAATAATGTTTATTGAGTCATATTACTTAAAATTCAAGATTACAAGTAAATTGTGCGTAATTACAATTTATTATATCTTCATGTTTGAATTCGTGTAAATAATTGTGGATAAACATAATCAACTACATGATAAACATCTCATTTTAAATATAAAAAATCTAAAATATAATTAAGATAATCATTGAATTACACTTATAACAGAATACTTAATTATTATCCTTATAAATATTATATTATTAAACCAAAAATAAATTACTTTATTGTTAAACCTAAATTAAATTATAATAAAAAATTTGAATTAAAAATTACATAAAGAACGAGAATTTTTAAATAGTTAATTTCATGCTAATATCGATATATTTTTTTTCAAATTTTTGTGAATATAAACACTTTCGCTTTATCAAAATCATATAAAATCGTATTATATCGACAAAGACAAAAAAATAAAACGAAACATTATCTCGATGTATCTCGTTGCATTGTGCGAGTATCTTTCTAGTTAATATTAATATATGTAGTTTTTATAATTGAATTTACAATTACAATAGACTACTTTATAAGACGCTTCCATCTTAGGAGCCAGCGACGCTGGCATACCAATCATGTTCCTACTTTGATACCATTTATCACATCTTAGGCCAACCGTACCAAATATTATCCGTTTTGTTCATATCTGGATTCACGGTTTTAAAATGTGTCTGATAGAGAAGGTATTCAGTCCCTTATAAGGCGACTAGTGTTTTATTAACCCTTTTATGGGACACTATTTGAAAGTCTTATAAAACAAGTGTCTAATAAAATGATGTGTTCATAGGATACTTTTTAAAAGTTACTTATGAAATAGCTATATGTCACTTTGTTTCAAAAGTGTCTTAAAAACTTGTTTAGACATCAAAAACGTTCTATAAGTTTATTACAACATTTTTAGATAGGACATACAAATATTTGGTCTTATAAAACTAAGTCCTATAAATTAGTCTATTAAGACCTTAATTAAACACTTTTGTGGTCCTATAAACTCAACCTTTTTCGTGGTAAAAAATTCAAGCCCAATCAAAGGTGAGTGTATGTATGAGTTTTGTTGCATATAAATATTATATACTAAAATAACATATACATAAAAAGGTGGTGGTTGGTGGGAGGGTTTGATCTTGCCTTGTTTGCAGCAATTGTAACAATGGCATACGACAGAGATGGTGCCATCATCCTTGATCTTGAGGAGGCCGAGGCAGTCTACGTACCTGCCGCTTGTGCAATTGCACATTTTCTCGATGTAGTGTGGTGCCCTAACTCGGATTCGACTCAAGTAGTCACGTAACTCTTCGTGTGTGAAGATTGTTTTGGGGACGAGCACTAAACTCAATTATGTCATAAAAATATTGTTTGGTTTATTTTGAGAAAAGTTTATTTGATGATAGTAAATAATGGAAATACGTCAAATATCTACTTCATTTATATTTTTTGGAATATTTAAATAATGTTTGACTGATAATTGATAAGTTAAATGTTGGTTGAAAAAGTAGTTGTTTCTTGATAAAGAAGTTATGTTTGGTAAAAATTAGCTAATAAGGAAAAGGGGAAAAAAATATAAGATATTTATGCTATATTATAAAACATTTGACAAAAACTATTAAAAATCATTTTTTATGCATGAAATACTGTATATTGATGCATATTACTTAGAATTCAAGATTACAAGTAATTTTGCATAAGTACAACTTATTAAAGCTTTATGTTTGAATTCGTGTAACTAACTGCGGATAAACATAATCGAATAGAGGATAAACATCTTATTTTAAAATATAAAAAACCTAAAATATAATTAGAATAATTATCGAGTTCCAACATATTACTTAATTATTATCCTTATAAAAAA